CATTAAAAAATTATGAAGAATTACAAAATAAGTTTAAAAAATTAACTGATGACAATAAAAAATTGAAATTCACAAAAGTTCAAAACTCTGAAATAATAAATGAGCTTAAGAATAAATTATATGTGCAAAACAAACCAATATTCTTTTCAAAGTCTAAAGATGATAAACTTCAAGAGAAAAACAATCTATTTGAGAAGCATATAAGAAAATTTTTTGAGATTCTTAATAAAGAAAATAAAGAAACAGTACATACTGGACTTTCAATCGATCGTAAGACCAAAAAAAGTGGTGCGAACATGAGAATTGAGTTTAAACTAAAAGAAATCTTGAATAATTTTCAAAAAGAAAGATTAGAAAAAGATCAAGATGATGCTTGGTTAATGAGAGTGACAAAATTTTCACATAAAAAAAAAAGTGAGTTAATTCAAATTGCAACTAATTATGAAGAAAAATTAGACCTATTAGAGAAAGAAATAAAATATGTTGTCGATACGTTAAGGAAAGTTATTGAAGCTAAAATAAATACTGATTTGGAAAAAGAAATAGATTTAGAATCCAAAAAAATACAGTTAGAGGTCCAAATTAAAGAGTTAGAAAACAATAGTGATCTAAAAATTTTGCAAACAATATTAAATGAATTAACTCTTGAAAATATAAATTTAAGAACTTTAAATCATAAAAATTCTAGTGACATAAAGAATCTAAGAAAACAAATAAATTTTTCAAGGTCTAAAGAGAAAAGAAATGCTGATGCTGATTAAAATATTAAAAACATGGAAGAAGAGCTAGCCAGGAAAATATTTATGATCTTAAATTAATCAATCAACATCTTCAACAAAAACATTTATGATACAGATGATATATTTTTTTCTTTAGTTGTTTACTTTGCTTCAATTTTAAAACTGGGAATTGAAAAAAATTTATAGATTAATAGTTCTACCGTATGACGCTTTAACGTTTTGTATTTTTTTGGTATCAAGATTAATAATTTATAATAATTTTTAAGAAATTTTATTATTTATTGCTTTAGTATTTGTATTTCTACTTTTTTTATATGTTATAGCAAATAAAATACTTCTTTAAAAAAATTATTATAACCGTTTAAAAAAAATAAAGCTGCTAAATTAATTTATTATGTTATAGCATATAAAATACTACATCTTTAAATCTATCTTAAAAAAAATTATTATAACCTTATAAAAAAAAATTAAGCTGCTAAACTAATTTATCTTTTTTTAGACGTTATTAGCTTTTAAAGTTGTGGTCTTCAAGTGTCGTGCACCGTAGTTATGTTAATTTCAATTCGAACTCGATCGGATAATGATCCGAGACACGCATTGCGAGTTTTGTGATCAAGGCTGGATCGTATTTATCTTTCCAAAATTTGTCAAA